ATTATTATGTAACGCCACAGCTCCACAGCACGAGGCCTTCACACAGTACCATGATACACTTGTGAGTCCACCTCGTCTCCCTCCCTGTCAAATACATCACATATTTGAAATGCCTCTTCTGTTCCCCTTGGCTTTCCTTCTCTTTAATCTCACCTCGGTCGTATTGCATGCAAGTCTATCACTCCTGTCTGTGTCTCTCTCTCTCTCTCTCTCTCTCCTTCTTAATCCTGCTTGCAGACATGCTCTGACTCTAGTAAAGAAGATTTGCCAATTCAGACTTCAGTCTCTGCACACAATCAAGTAATGAAACAGTTATCCACACACTTCCATACAAGTCTGATATGATTCATACAGTAATGCAAGAAAAAAAATACTTTACTTCTCGTTTCTTTCATATCACTGAATAGCAACACATTTTTATAAATGGGCATTATTGCAGCAGTTGAGGATGTATCACTATTTTGCTTTTTTTTTTTTTTTTTTTACACAGGAAGACCAAAGTTGAGTTAGTTAGCTAGTTACATTTTAACCCGGGTTACAAGGTGGTCTAAATATAAATATAATATCTAACTTTGTTTTTCTTTGTGGGTTAGTAAAGAACTGGTTAGATGAAGAATTGTAAGTGGAGCTGAGACAATTATTTGATTTATCGAAGTCAAAAATAATCAAGTTAAGTCATCAAAGTTATTCTTCAAGCAAAAAAAGGACAAATTCTTTGCATCCATTCTCTCAAATGTGAGGATTTGCTCATTTTCTTTGCCTCACGTGTTTGTAACTAAATATCTTTGGGTTTACTCCACGAAAAACAAGCTATTTAAAGACGACACATTGAGGTTTCTGGAGATTCTGATAGGCATTTTCCATTTTTCTGACATTAATTGATAATGAAAATAATCATTAGTTAGAACATCACAACACACGACATCTATAATCAAGGAAAGAAATTCCTCTCCACAAGCTTTTTCTAGGATTATAAAGAGAAGGTTGAGTTAGCTGGAAAAGTTGCTAACACAGAGTCAACCACAGAAAAACTAATGAGAAACTACCCATATTCTAATTCTGTCCTTGGGGAAACAAATATGGGGATGACATTTAATAAACACTCCTCTATGGCGCAGTCCGACGTTGGAAACTATGACGTGCCAAAATATGTTTAAATCCAGCTCGAGTCTGACATTCGCAGACAGAGGATTTACCGCTGACACTCTCCTCAATCCCGATTAATGCCGGCGACATTAGAAAACCAACATTAAGCAGCTTTTTAACATTGTAGAACTTCTACACCTAATAATAATTTACTATTTCAAGTCAAAATAAACCTACATTTGAAATTAGCCTCCCGCCAGCGGCATGTACGCCGATAACAATGACAGTGTAAAACAGCAATCGCTGGGGTCCTATTCAGCGTGCAAACCATTTATTGTCCAGTTGCATTGTGCACCAAGTTACTGCAATCAGCACTTAGCACAATACTGATTCATCACAAAGCTACAAATCAGTCTACCATGCAGTCTGTGCGCACCCCTCCACCAAAGAAGCGCCAACACATTCCTGGCCCCAGCTGCCTTTAGCCCCCCAACAGAGGAACATCAGAGCAAACTATCATGTTATCAAAACTTCTGCTGGGTTTCGTTACCGCCGCCGGCTTGGGTGGATTTACTGATTACCCCTTTTTCTAGAAAACCAAAAAGTAAAGCTTGCTACATGCCCATTTTAAGAGACGAGTGAATTCTAGTCTGTAGAAAAATTGACAGTAGTGACAGAAAGGGTGTTCAATACAGCAGATGTCAGCCTGAGTACTAAAGAGGCCCGGAGAAGGAGAGCTACATTATCTCAATCTCCAGCTATGCAGAGCTCTCTCCCTGCAACTGTCTCATTTGTACAGCCTGCTCTCTTCCTTCCAGTAGCCTTTTTAAAAAAAAAAAAAAACCACATGTTCCTTATAGTTAGTTCACTGCACAAAGTCCATTGACATTTTTAGTATCTACTAGTGCTGAAAAGGGCAGGTTTGTTTACATAAAACAATATGCATACTGTGATTATTTGAAATTATCAACAGCAGTGTTTTTTAGAGAAATTAAAGTAATGTAATGCAATGTTAGTTACATGAACACTGAAAGCGTAATGATAAGCCTCAGACGTGCAAGAAGGAGATGCCCAATGGCATCAAATATTTCCTTAAAACAAGACCGAGCATGTAGGTCGAACCTTGTGAGAGCACGCAAGAGTAACAACCAGTTGTTCGCACTCTTATCTCGAACATTTTTGGAGGAATGTTCACTCAGACTTGCCTGTTGGAGGATATAAAGAGCAATTACACACACGAAACAGCAAACATTTAACCGTATAGAGCCATCACCTTAGCAATGTTAATATCCGACATGGTAATTGACAGCTGGTTATAATGAAATTGTACTGCAGGATGTAGCTTGCTTTTGTGACGCGATAATGATTCATTGATCAACACATGGTGTGCATCAACTACGCTGAGAAACTTTTTGAGGAATTGAGAAAATTTACAGTGTGTGAGGATGAAACACACCTTGAAAAGTCTTCCTTGTTGCTTTAATCAAACAAAAAAAAAAGAAGCATGTTTTGCATCAGTATGACAATTATGAAACTCGCAGGTTAAAACCAATTCTGCATTTCTGTATGAAAATCAAAAAGGAGCTTTAAGCTGACGTTAGTGAGGCTTTCGTTTGCTCGAGTTTCGAGTTCCTTTTGCTTGGCGGGCCCAGACACATGTATATTCTCTCAACTGAGAGGCCCAGAAAAGGAGCAACACTTTAATGTTTAAAAAAAAAAAAAAAGGCTGAGAGCTGGAATGAGGAGGAACAGTTTCCCAGCCTAGCCCTCTTCTCTTTCTCCCTTACCCTCTCCACATCTGCTGCACTCATGTAAACCCCTGTGGCTCAGAGAGGAGAGGCCCCCTTTCCAAGCCTCCATTCTCCACCTCTTCTCCCCCTACCAGAGCTGACTGTAGGAACTATCAAAACATTAAGAAAAAAAAAAGGATGAGGGGGGAGGAGGAAAGGGAGTGAGATCCCTTGGTGGTGGGCAATAAATCACAAACACTCTGGGAGCAACAAGAGCCCTGCCTCCATCACGGAGCCCCTCTTCAAAGCCCCCTTGAGCAAGCAGAGTCCCTCCCAAGGCCCCCACCCTGTACCCTGTACCCTGCCTCAGCCCCTCAAGCCCCCGGCTCTGCTCCAGTCCTGATCCTTTCGCACACTATCCCTTGCACCAACCCTTTAGCGAGCACAGGGGCTCTCTCTCCCTTACCCACAACCTCAGGGCCCCTTCCCTCCCCCCCCTCTTTTCTGGGTCTCTCACAGCACCAGGACACAGAGACTTTTCTTCTCCCGGTGCTACATTCACACTCGCTCCAGGCTCAGCACTGCCACTCAACCACAACACAGCCATTCAACACATGCCCCCCCCCCAATACAGCTCCTCGCTCACCCTGCAAAAAACCACAGCAAAGAATTTCACAATCGTACCACAAAGGGCAGAAACTAGAAACCTGGCAGCTACAGCCGCTGTTTAGGTGAGCAGAAAGCTTTAAGGGGACATTCACAGAAGCCACAGTGTCTTTAAAAAGATGCAAGTTTTAATTGTAGTTCATAGTTGTGGCCTGAGCAGTAACACTGATTCAGAAGGGACATTTTTTATAAGCAACCATCTTGAAGGAAATGGGAAACATGCTAAAAACAGCGTACATTACATAGACTTCTTCTGAAATAAAACACTTTTAGATACGTTATCTTACTTGTATTAAAGAGTCCAACTTTTAGCTTGTTTGCCATCTTACTCAAAATAAAATAAAAATAGATTTAATCTCTTTGTGTCTGCCACAGAGATTGATCATGCATGTCCAAAGTAAGTAACCTAATAGCTCTAATGTTGTTTTATCTACACACTGTATGTATATGTATGTCAAAGTGAGGGACTTTGAGCCAAGCTTAACCAAGAACCGGAAGATGCATCTAAAAGAGTCCTGTGCACGGAGGGATTTTGCTAAGTTAGTCATAACCCTATCATGAACAAAGGAGCTAGTCAAGCTGCTTCCCCAGAGCGTCCAGAGAAGGAGAAATGTGCCTTAATCATCAGTATATAGAGAGATCTAATCATCCTTCTCCACACTGATGGGGGAATTATATTCCTGTAAGATGTGGCTTTGTGGAGAAACACAGATGATATCCACTGGTAAACATATGGCTGGCACAAGATGCTCTGGTGTACGATAACCTGGAAGCATGCCAGCACCATTGTCATCGGGGGGGGGAATTCAGTGCAGCTGTACAGCACAGGGCCAGAGCAACTAGTTGCCAAAGACCGCAACTGCAGTATCAGCATCTTTCTCACACTTTATCACGCTGAATCCAAATCCGTGGGTTTATGTTTTAATTAATCAGTGGACGACTGGAGAAAGACAGAGGGGGCGATTTACACCCAGTGCCACAGACACACACACAGTTATCATGTGACCAAAAATTCTATACTTCTAGCTTGAGGAAGTTGCGTAATTGATTCAATTTAAGCATCTAGTTTACAGTAGTTGGGTACACCGGAAATAACATGTAACTGCTTAATTTCTAGCACTGCTGCAGCTACTTGTGATTCCATCTAGTTACTGTAGGTTTTAGATAGGACTTGGTGAATCCTTTGCATCTTTAAAGTTTGAAAATACGAGCTTGATCAATAATAACCAATTCTTTTTTTCTATATCTGTCAATTTGTAGATTTACGTTAAAGTAATCTACAACAAGTCTGTTGTTTTTAAGTAATTTCTTAAGCAAAATTCACTGTTTTAAGTTTCCTAAAAGTTCATATTTTCTGTTTTTCTTACACACCTATGACACTAAACTGAATATCTTTGTTTTTTTTACGATTTTAAACATTTAAAAACAATAATTTGGGATGCAGTGGACATGTCTGAGTATTTGCTGACGTTTTACAGACCACACAACTGGTCGATGTTGGTCTGGCGTTAAACTCACCTTGTTCCGAGTCGGAGTCTGTCTCCCCCTTGAAGACGCCCGGAGCTACAGGTAAAGGTCTGAGGGGCCTTGGCTTGGGCGTGGGAGGGGAGATCCATTTCTTCCCGATGAACTCGACATATGTCCCAGGGAAGTCCCCTTTTTCCTGAGTGGTTTCGTTGAAGCCTGGCAGCCAGCCAATCTCGTTGGGCCTCTGTTCCAGCCCATCAGTGTACCCGACAGCCACCAGAGCTACTTTGCTTACCAACAGTATATCCCCCACATGCAGATCAATGTCCTCCTCCCTCTCCTTCTTGTAGTCATAAAGCGCTCTGTACTGATATCCTTCAGCACTCATATTGATCGCTGTGTGTCGAGGTGTTCTTTTGAAGTTGATCTTTAAATCAACAAAGTTACTTTTCAGGTTTCTATGTTAGTGTGTGTTTAGTCCAGGTACACATTTGCTAGTTCAAATGGTTGTAGGTCGTCTACGTCCAACTAAACAGACAAAAAATATCTAGCTCGTCTTCATTCTTTCACAGTTCCTGTCTTTACTGAATGATTTCCAGTTCTCTTGGTGTGTTGCCTCACAGTATGTACCCATCAAGAAATGACCTGCAGCTGTGATGTTGAGAATGCTATCCAGACCTGTAAGATGAGAAGGGAGGCCATTTGCAACACATTGCATAAGACAATTACAGTGTGCATCACATTCAACGCTCGGATGTGAACTAACCTCACAAAATAAGATCATATAAAACATATTTAACACTGATTGACACTTATTTTAAAGTATATTATTACTTCATACTACCTTTGTAACTCTTCTATACCACATGCTAAGTTGGTGGAGGATTATATTTGCTTTGAAGAACAACATTTTAATCATTTAATAGTCTATAGCACTACTATTTCTCTCTCTTATTCTTATTAACTGGGATAGGGCTGCACAATATGGTACAAACACATTATTTTTAGAGATATTTCAATATGAGTCACGATTAATGTGGGAATGAGCATCACAATTTTCATTTTAACTGGGGAAAAAAGCTCTTAAAATCATGATAATGTGGTTTGTTTTTGGGCTGTGCACCAAACAAACATGTTGTTTTATATGTGCAGAACAATAATTGTAGACCAGGGAATATCTTCAGCACCACAGTACTTTATTATAATGCTGTAGTGCAGCACATTTTACCTTAATGGAAAAAAAGAAAAGCTTCTGTAGCTTGGATATTGCAATTTTGCTCATATTTAGATTAATTGTGCAGACCTACACAGTCACAAAAGTGCAGAATTTACAGTTTTTGATGATAAATTTAAGACTTTCTGGCACACTAATGTGACTTTAGTGTTGTTCATCCAATATGTGGCTGCTAACATCATCCTTACCAGTGACAGCTTAAAATCCACAACACTATTAACTGTTTAATAACTAAATATAAAACTTAACTGGCATGTTCGCGTTTGCACAAACTTGCTTGGCAGCAAACTTGTGCATTTGGGGGGGGAAAAAAAGTGTGCATGGTTTTAAAAACTACAACACTGAAGTTTTAAAACAGTCCAACACAAGTGTGTGAAAAAAAATGTCGAAGGCAGCAGGACTAGAATCAGTTTGCTCACAGGAGCGACTACTGGCTGCTCATTAGTATAGTATAGTATAGACCAGAACAAAAAGAAAGTAACATAAAGTTTAACTTAAACCAGCAGGAGAATATAACTACCTGACAATACGCTTTCTTAAAAGTATCAGCAGTTAGCATTGCTCGGACAGTAACATACCGAGTCTGCGTACATCCACAGGCGAGAATCCCACGAGCCTTCCACTTCGTTAAACTTCCGAGTTGCGGCGGGAATTATCGAGCCAACGCGACCCCGAACAGATCCCGTACCGGCACGGTTAACAACGAAAAACCTCCGTTTGCGTTTAAATCCAGGTTTACCGAGTTGTACAAAATGTTACAACCACACAGTTTCGTCCACATAACGGCACGGTTTCCCCCCCCCCGCGTCCAGAACAAACGCTCCCTTCAACGACGCCTCTGCGGGCCAGCGAAAAGGGGGGCCAGACAAACAGCTCGGCCGCGGATTGGTCGGCTACTTCTTGGGTTTGCGCGCGCATTGGTCCGCGTCGCTGTCAATCATCTCCGTCACGCAATCCGACCAATTAGATTCTCGCTAGTGGCGGACGCTCCCTCCCCCATGTAACTCTTGCACGCAACATGAAACACCTTATGGAAATTACATAACTTCTGCACGCAATCTTAATGGTAACCAGGTTTTGGGTTTTTTTTTTTATTGTTTTTTATTATTACCAGCATCTGTTTTTATACGTGACGGGGGATTATTTTCACAGCATTATCATCCAAAGGAGGATAAAGTAAAGATATCACTTTACACTATGTGTGGCACAAGCCCTCCAGAGGATATCTGAAGCACAGAAACTACTGTGGGATATTCCCAACTTCTTTGTTTTTCTAATTCAGTACGAAAAACTGTAACTGGTAGATTACATTCTGTGTAACATAAACAAAAAACAAAGCAGGAAATTAAACATATTCTCAGTAACAGCCGGGACAGCACCTAACTAAGATCCAGGTTATTTATTCAGTCCACAGTTCTCTTCTCAAGTCCCAAAATCTTACAGAGTCACCATCTGAAGCACATGACTGTGAATGTGGGTGGCCTAATTATGGCAGGGAAAGAGGTTCTGGCTTGCAGAAAATCCCCTCAAGTATAAACCCTACTGTCCCGGGCTGTGCTAAAAAGAGGCTGTAAGCAGCTTTGTACAGCAGTAGGCCCCATTGAGTGTTCTGCAGTCATGAAGGCATCAGTAGCCATCACCGCAGAGAAAAGAGGAAGGAGTGTAGAAAACAGGAGAATTGGTGGTGTTGAAATTAATAGTTAGTAGGAACTTCAAGCTGCGGCTGCGGCGTGTTGGGAAACTTAGACAAAATGCAACGTTGACGTCTTTCTTTCAGTCATAAAAGCGAAAAATGTTGCAATTTTCATCTGCTACCGTAACCGCTGACATTTCTTTCTGTGACTTCACTTATGCATTGATAGATTTAGTGTTTCTGCCTCACAAATGCCAGAGCAAACTGTGTCACTTACTATTGCAGCCAGGGTTTATATTTCTGCTGTAGATGATGGAAATTAATATTTGAACCACCAGCCCATATAATCCCCCCTCTCTGCCAGCACCACACCACACCTCGCCGCCCACCCCCCGGTTAAATAGTCAAGCTCTAGTGACCCATCTGCTACCCAAAACTACACCTCTGGTAGGATCTCTCACTGTAAAACATTTAATGGATTGGACTTTGTTTACACTTTCTAACAGACATAAAACAATCCTAGTTCCCATAAACTCGTTTGTCTGCACAGACTATTGCAAAAAAACAAGCATGTTGTGTCAAGTCTCAGTCAGAAAGTTACTTATTAAGTGGGTTTTTTTTTCACATGCTGTAACAGGCAAGTCTTAATTTAGCGCCTGTGTTTCAGTGAAGTCATGAATATAAATTGGAAGCAACTTTATGGATTTCCTTACACATAAAGGCCTCTCAGGGGTTTATAACGTGGCATTTTCCATTAATAGTATTCCCATGGCTGCTGTTTGTGCTTACAATTACTTATCTCTGGGCTGCACATCCAGTACATATTGAAATAGTTGGACCCATTGTTTATGTTCTATTTTTATTTAGAACTTGTTTGCATGTTTTATGCAAAGCTAAGAAGTTTCCATCTGTGACATACCGCTCTCTTACTGTACCACATTCTGAATGCTGGGTACTTAGCCACTGGGTTTGTTTATGTGTTTATGTGTATATTTTGTGGTCATAATGTGCTCTATAGCACAAACTGTGTGGAGGAAATGTGTACTTAAGCCAATTATATAATGTAAGTGCACAAGGAAGGTACTTTCTGCTTAAAAGCTCTCACTCCCTCGACATTAAAGGTCCAATCAGTCAAATTTCCCCCCCATCATATAAGTTACAGGGGGCTTGTCATTTGATCATAACTGAAAATGTAGTGCTGTGTCTTGTTCTAAGCTGGAGTTTTAACTGACTTTAAGACAGACTCGCTTTTTAACCATGTTGTGTTCATTTTGGAAGACAGCCCAAGGGCCAAATGAATGCAGGTTAGGCAAAGCAGCTGTTATGCAAAAGCTAACACATAGTTAAAAGCAAGTATCTCTGGCCTAAAAGGAATATTTCAACATTTTGAAAAATATGGTTGTTCACTTTCTTGTTAAGAGTTACGTTAGAAGCGCAATACCACACACAACATCTGTCTTCTATATATATACAGCCAGTTAGCCTAACTTAGCCTCAAGACTGGAAGCAGAGGGGAACAGCCAGCCTGACACTGCCGTTTTTGTAGATTTAACAACGAGATATAATAACCTGTTAAATAGTGAACTTTAAAGGTGCTGCTCATTATGCTAAGCTAAGCTAACCAGCTGCTGACTGTGGCTTCACATTTAGCGACACATGTATAAATCCTTTTATATAACTTTTGGCAAGAAAGAGAATAAAATGTCCATGTAATGCTTGTTTCTATTGCACTGCAGCCGTAGAAGTCCTAATCTTTTTCTTCTTAGAGAACTCTCCTTGAGCTGCTTTAGTAGGTTACTTAAATAATTCACTAGATAAGCACTTTTAGTTGGCATACATTTCATTGAACAGTACTTGAGGTCCACCATACTGCGAGACCTCTTCAGCTTTTATCATGGTAATTTTCAAAGTGCTCTCAGACCACCTACTATGCTACAGCTTACCAAAACAGTCTGAAATAGGTCAACAACATCATAATGCAAAAATAATATTACACAAATATTGAAGACCTAGCCTAAAAGTTAAATGATTTGACCGTATAAGTACAAATGTCACAGGATTACACAAATATAGAAAATGAATGTGAGCACTATTCCTTTATTATGGACAAGCGTGCATAAAAGTGTCAAGATTATGTCAGTTTATATTAATTTCTCCACTTATCAGAAAAAAAACAAACACTGCAAGTTCTTTCAAGGATAAGAAAGTGTGTAACCCAAAAGGTTTATTTCCTCTCTTCCAGGATCTGTCAAAATGGTTTTGCTGTGGGGGAGCAGAGTGCTGTATGGGCTGTCAGACGCTGAATTAAAGCTGCAGGTACCTTGCAGAGGCTTCCTTTCATGTTATAGCAATGGGACCTACTTTTTTAAAGGACTCACTCTGCGTGGATTGGGCCCCTTAAACCATTAATCTATGCAGTGTTTTCAGGGTTTTAATAATGGCTAACTTTAGTGTGTAGGGCTCTCAGGCTCCCAGCTTTTTATCTCCCCCCCACCCCACCCCACCTCTCTCTCTATTCACTGATTCTTTTACTTTTGTGAGCAAGCTGAGAATTCTCACATGGGTAACCCCATAATGCTCACCAACATAAGATGAACTTGTGAAATGCTTCACCCACCAACGCCTATTTAAACAAAACGAAAAAGAGGGAAAAAAAGAAAAAAATGATACTTCCTCCTTATGCTTGTGTTCTCTATCGCCACAGGAATACTCTTTCTCTAACTACAAACTGCAGTGGCACATTTGCTTTCGTTAGTTTTTTCATTATATGTTGAAGTGCCCATTGTCCAGTGAAAAGAATATAATGAAAACATCTTGTAATTAACATTAAAAAAGATTTTTCTCATCTCAAAGTGGGCTGAAACATGTATAATACTTGGTAATGACGTGTTTCCATCAGCATGCATTAAATGTGTGCTATTTACACATTAATGAGAGCTGTTCACGTGCTCTTACAGCTAAACAATTACACACTTCTTTAAAATCAACTCAAAGAGTATGAAGGTGGGATCTGGTTTCAGTGTCACAGTTATGTAACATTGAAATTCTTTTAGTTTTGTATGTAAAAAAACCAAAAAAACATGACTATCAAAGTGTAATTTACATTGTCTGGAATTAATCTACATTAGTGCAACATTTGATGATTTTCTGCTGCTAATTTCACATCGTGCAATTCAAAAACTCCTCCTCAAATTCTTCTTCTTCTCTCACAAGGCACATACTTGCTTGTACGCTTGTCAGTAACGACATTCCTCTGGTATGAAAGAACGCTCCTCTCTACTCAACCGTCACCTCATCAGATGCAGCAGACCTTCTTCACTGGACTTGTCCATAAATCATTCATTTTTAATATTAGCCACAGTTCAAGTGTTTTCTGGCCTTAAAGAGCATACAGACATATTATGGCTTTTAAATACAACATGAGATGCACGTACCTTTGAATTAAGAAGTAGATTATTCAAACGACGTAACTGTGATGTGAGGTTAGCACAAAAGTGGAAAGCGCTAATGAGTTCATTTCTTTATGATGTGTTTAGACCACATTTTATACTGTCACTGTTATTAGCAACTGTAAAATCTGTATTTGCTAATTATAAAACGTACATATCCTGCTTTATATTTTGAATATTGGTGCTGAGGATGTGTACATTGAGCTTTTACGGCGAACAATACATTAATGAGCCGTAAAAAACCCAAAACAATAAGCTGAAAGGCGTTTAAACGCTCTGTGGAGCTGAGAGACACTTCAGAGTTGCATGATAACCTGAGATAAATGGGAAAGAGGGACAGAGAGAGAGGGGATGACACGAAGCAAAGGGCCACAGGTCGGACACTAACCCATGGCTGCCGCGGCAAAGTAACCGTTGTTAAGATAAAAATATTGATTATAACAGCTTTAATTTAACCCCAACAAACCAAACAATAAAAAAAGATTGAACACCGTTCAACAAAATCCAGCACTTTGAATATTTTGAAGGTACATTATAAGATCAGAATTGGTGGAAAACATATCAACATAAACAATACCATATTGCAGCATGGTGAGTCAAACATTAGTCTGCATGATTGTCATTACAAAACTTCCACTTTATGCTCTTATCTGATGCAACTGTATCCTGTACCCTGGAAGCATAAAGCTGGTGGTGTATTTCTGCATGTATGTCTGTAGATGTGAGCAGGTTTGTGTGTTACGGC